AAAAATGCAGGGCATGCGCAATGGGCTAGGCGTGACGTCATGCAGTGCATTTCTGGGGATGGAAAGTTGGAAGGGGTAGACACAGGGTAGAAGACTATACATTTTACTGCTCTGTGCTTGGTATCAAACAGTTAACAAGGACAATTGCACTATGATACAGGGGGTACTGGGATGGTCAAATGCTTGGTTTTGATTCGATTTTCTCGTTATACTGCTTTTTTGGAGACAAAAACGAGAAAGAGGAATATCAGAAGTGTATTACTTGGAAGAAAAGTGTGTAAGAAAAAAGGGTTATATTTAGTACATTCTATTGTGCAATAAAAAAAAAAAGATTTCTATGGAACCTAAGAAAGGCAACCAATTGAAATACTCGTAAAATATTTGACAGCTTATCTTGTTGTCGCATTGTATTGCATTAATGGCTTGCCCGCATGCTTTTATTAAATAGATTTAATATAGGACAGACGTCGGATTTTGTGAGGGTAGAACGTTTCGAATTTGCCGTACCAGGTCAACTGCGTTGTTGTTTCTGCTAGAATATTATAATTGTTGAAATTTCCAAGGACAAGTAGATTTAGCAAGGGACAACATAAAGGTGGTTTGATAGGTTGTAATAGCCTAAATTAGTCAAAAGAGCTATTCTTCAGTTTCTTTTTTTTTAACATAAAATTTACATACAAATATTAATGCAATGAAATTTAAAACTTTTAGAGCAAAAGTTCCCTTTTCATTATACTGCTCACCACCCCATGCAGATCTTGTATGAAGCTCTCTCCCTCCCTCCCCCACCCCCACCCCAATAATCGTCAATTTATATGGTTTTATAATTATAGTTATCTAATTACGTCTTAACTCCGGGGCTAAGTCAGGCAAAGTCAGGAAAAAGGTACTGCAACCGGTCTATTGTATTTGACTGGCTGATGTCCTGTAACAGGAGAAAAATGCACTCAAAACAACACGTTGCGTACACGTGTTGGCTTGGCAAGTAGTACGGGGGTCCCGCATTGCAACTTTCTACACATACTATATATACAGAACCTGTCATATTGCAAAATTCATCATTAACATGTGTGCAAATTTTAAAGATAGCTCTGTAACATTCGTAAAGAGTAATGCCACTTACCAAATGATGCTCCTTTTCCTTTGAACAGTGCCGTTTACTTTGAACAACGTTCTGATATATTTACAACTAACGTTAAAATATGATATGTGTTCACATCACGTTTGCCTTCCATATCAGACCCGTAGCTTGACAGCCTATGGAGTATATTTGGGGCAGGCCATCAGTTCCAAATGGGTCTAATTGATTAAAAAGTGCATGCTGATTGGCAGTTCATATAGCTAATGCACACGGAATACGTATACATTTTCTGATGTGCGCCAGACCCGTAGCTTAGTCGCTTTAAGGACATATTTAGGACCGATTTTTAAAACAGAGGCCGTTTAATCCCTAGTTAGCTATAATAAAATATCCTTCAGTTCAAGGCGTCCCCCTCAAAATACGTACTGTCCGGAAATGTCTTTCTTGTTCTGAAGCCGGCGTAATGTTTCATTTAAGCGGACAAATACTGATTTAGCTTGGATTGATTTGAATTTATGTTTATGACATACGAGCCCTTAAAATTGATTTTCCGTCAAACGGAGATGTCATTTCACGTCATCGCACCGTCAGCCGCCTTTGGGACATATTTGGGACAGGCCATTAATTTAAAATGTAACTAAGGCTCCATTCACATGAAAAATGTGTTTCTAAAAATATAAAAATCTATTTGCGGTATCTTGTGATCACGGTCTGTGCCCTGAATACCCCACGGCGTAATTACGGGCAGCGCGAGCCAGTTTCTTACAAAGCTGTAATTAATTCTCGGCGCTGCCCGTTATTACGCAGCGGGGTATTCAGGGCACAGACCGTGATCACAAGATACCGCAAATAGATTTTTTTTACATTTTTAGAAAATACATTTGTCGTGTGAACTACTCTAAAACTTCAGGTTCCAGCAGAACTTATTATGAATAATCGTAATGTATGGATTATGATTTCATTTCGTGTTATATGACAAACACATATACCTTAGTACATCTTTCACGTGTGAGATCAATTACTGTCACGAGCGTTATATGCCAGAACGAGGTGTTCGAAGCATATATCGCGAGAGGCTGGCAGTTAATTATTTGATGTACATACATGTACCTAGAGACGTACTTGCATTTCACCGAGAAACAGCCCCAAAACCACAAAACCCAAACCTTACTTCTGTAGCCTATTAACTATAAACATTGGAACATTGTAACTGATCAATCAGATTACTAGAAGTTTATTAGAGGTATCGGCAAAAAAGAGCCAGATGTGTCCAACAAGCCAGATATGTCCGACAAAAAAAGAGCCAGATGCGTCCGACAAGCCAGATATGTCCGACAAAAAAGAGCCAGATGTGTCCGACAAGCCAGATATGTCCGACAAAAAAGAGCCAGATGTGTCCGACAGGCAGATCGTAGGACATATCTGGCCTGTTGGACATATCGGGCCGTCGCAGGTGTCCTTAGCCATACAGAATACTTCTAAATGCTATGCTTAGAAAACACTGTAAAGTGTATGGACACTCTTAGTCCGGTTATTTCATAGATCCAATTTAGCAATATGTTCTTTGTTTTACGATGTTTTTAAAATATTAAAATATTAAATATTAAAATATTGACCTGTAACGATGTTTTTGCTTTTTGCAATGCTGTTAGTGGCAAGAGATATGGGCTTGTTTATTTGTGTCCTTTTTGCAATTTCATAATACCGACATGAAATATGCGTTTGCACTATACTGCTGTATTTTTGGAATCATATTTATCATGTATATATAGATATTTATATTTCTAATAAAACTTTCTGGAGCTTCATTTGCCACATCCCAGACGCAACATGACATTCAAAATGATTAATTTCGTTCCATATTTTCATCTGCCCATCGTCATTTTGTATTTCAGGGCCTCGTATTTGCCTGGGCAAGGGACTGGCTGAAATGGAATCGTTCATTTTCTTCACCACGTCGCTTCAGAATTTCACCTTCAAGGTACCAGAGGGAGAGAACCCGCCCAGTGAAGTCGAGGGTCTGAACTCGTCCAAGTTTGCGCCATATGACTACAAAGAGGTGTCGTGTGTGTGCGTGTGTGTGTATGCGCGTGCGCATGTGTGTACGTGTGTGTGTGTGTGTGTGTATATTTACCTGGTTGCTTTCTGTAAAAGTGTGTCGTATTACAGTCTATTGGACAACATTTCGAATTGACCACGTTGCACTTCTCACTATTGCATTGCTTTCTTTGATAACATTCTCAGTGTAACAGGAATAGAAGTCCTAGGAATGGACGTCCGGGCTCCCATATGATAAGTACAGGTTAGGGTTAGTTGGAGTATTGGAGTTAGTATATGGGACGAATGTCACCTTTGCAAAGTAATAGGGAACGGACTACGGTTCCCAGCGGACTTCCATTCCTGTTACACCGGCAACTACAGTTTCTTACCCCACGTTGATTCTAGAAAACTAACTAAACAATATCATGGGTTGTGGCTACAATATTCACGTTTATTTTGTCATTTTTGAGATTCATGTTGTCTTCTGTTTAAAAAATCAAGATCCTATCACTTGGTTTTCGGTTTTGAACATCTTGTCCTCAGAATGGGCTTCTACTCATCCGGGAAATTTAAGAGAACTGCATGAAGACATCTGAATGCATACACGATATTCATCACGATTTTATGTATGGTATTGTCATAACTTAGCTGGTCTCTGATATAAGATGTGGAAATACATATCAGGGCCGTAGCCTGAGCAAAATGCCAGGGGGGCAGTAAGCGGACACGAGGGGGCAAAGCCCCCTGAGTGGGGAGGTTGTGGGAGGGGGTGTCCCACGGTGTGGAAAAATTTTAAAAACTGTATGTATAATACTGCATTCTGGTGCATTTTAACTGTTATTTATTGCTCAATCAGAAGTCAGAAATTGCAATTTTTTTTGCACCTCAAATCCCAGGGGGGGCAGCTGCCCCCCCTGCCCCCCCGGAGGCTACGGCCCTGCATATGCATGCTCTCAAGATCGTAGTTAGATTGAGCAAGTAGTTTTTTGTTAAAACACTTTGGGTTGAAGTAGACGGATAACTTTTGCGTTTGGTTTTATAAAGTGTGAAATCTCGACATGGTTGCACATGGTTGCATAATACCTGCACGTACACACGTATACATAAAGGTGCACATAAAGGTGTCAGGAAATGACCTTGTTTGGTAAAGGTTACGTGAATAAGGTATTACAGTGGTATACTGCTTATGCAGTTCTAGCTTTTACAAAAAAACTGAAAAAGTTGCTGTAACTATGGAATTCAATATGTCCAACGTTGTACACAGTTTCTCTGAGTTTTTTGCAACCCTTGGTTTGCCGACAGTTTTGATATTCGTGACAGTGTTGTTGTTAAGTCTGTGGATGTTGTCGTCGAGGAATCCTAGGGTGAACTGGCCGCCCGGACCTGTCTGTTTCCCCGTGGTGGGATGTCTCCCTCAGCTGATGATCAGCGGTAGAAGACGACAGCCGACAGATCTTCTTCCATGGTATGATACATACGGAGATATCATGCACATCAAACTTGGTGAACAACACATGATAATGCTGGGCACATATGAGCTGATAGAAGAGGCTTTTGTGAAGAATACAGCCACAGTCAGTGCAAGGCCTACTTGGATATATCTTATAAGACGATTAGTTGGAAAAGACGGTAAAGTAATTTCAACATTAGCGAATGTTAGCTATCCAAATCTTCGTGTGCGATGGAATTTGTTACGCATAATTAAAGCTTCCCTTTATGCAGCAGTGCGTTACGAATACTCAAGTTTTACATGAATATAGGAACTGCCCCATTTTTCATTATATAGATTTTTTTTTTATGAAACCCGACTACTTAATTAAGTCTGCATGTAAAGCAGGGTGGGGATGGGGGGGGGGGGGAGAGCACGAAGCGGGTGAAATATAATACATAAATTGTGTACATAAATTGTGCAAACAGTAACGCAGTACACAGATATAGAGGGTATTGCTGTTACTGGGTATGATCCTCTTAATAATGTATTAACTGCAGGAGCTGGGGTTGCATTAAAAAACGGACATGCATGGAAGGAGCTGAGGAGATTCACGCTCTCGTCTCTTCGAGATCTCGGCCTTGGGAGAAAAAGTTTGCAAGAAAAATTCAGGATGAAGCCAGATACTTGGTGCAAAACATTGAAGATGAAAATGGAAAGGCTTTCTCTCCCAGCGCCAGGATTGGGAAAGCTGTCAGCAACATTATTTCTTTCATTGTGTTCGGAGCTAGGTAAGTGAATAACCTCCTATTTTCCATAACACTGAGACTGTCAACTATTTTTGAAAATGTTCTAAACTAGAAAAACTCCCCACCTTTAATGATTATGTGTTTTAACACCATCAAAACCTCAGCTAGAATATGAAGACTCTTGCTTAGGCCATACCAAAATCACATAATCATCAAACTAGCAAATTATTCTTTACTCGATATGTGGAGATTATAAAAACACGCAGAGAGAAAAGACGTCCGCCAAGAACTTCACACTGAAAAATTGTGGTAGTTGTGAGCACATCCCACCAATCACAGAACGTTTTTAACGTTACCATAACGTTTTTGTTTCTTATATTAACATTTTAGTAACATTCTGTGCCAAAAATCCATTGCACATTGACCTAATAGCACCTTTCGTGTTTTTTTTTTAATCAAACTCATTGGCCTTATCTCGCAACAGTGAAGAAATCCTTAAAAATTCCTTGATCTAGATCAGGACTCAGAGCACCAGCAAAATCTTGTCATCTTAAAGTTAGTCCACTTTTGAGCGTTCCTTAATTTTACCCAAAATCCATTCTTCACCTTTTCTGTTAGGTAAATGACGAGCCAATAATCATAGAAACACGGTGAACACGGAAGTTATAATTTAAGAAAAAGACTAAATGCATAGTTTGTCAGACGTAAACATGAAGTCCACAGTCAATTTACAGAGAGCATTCTAAAGAACTTGCTATCTAAAAAGTAGGTAATTATAGTCCTTTCTTAAAAAGAAAGCAACATTTTGTTTCAAACTATTTCAGATATGACTATAATGACACGCCCGAGATGCTACCAGTGTTGGAGGACTATATGAGACTAGGTCAAGGGGCATTGTCCCTCACCAACTTGGGCCGCTTTCTTATACCGGTAAACATTGATGGTATCTCCTTTATTTGCATGGTTTGTCTTTTAAAGCTATATATTTTTCTTAATTTGCATTTCAGTTACTGCGTTTTGTCAGATAAAAATGGCCATATAATAAATATAAGTTATACGGTACCTTTTGTAATTATCAATGAAGCGTTGTGGACACCTGTACATGTACACCCACTTACCAGTACAGTATCTACAGTTTACATGGACAATACGTGTAAAACATTTGTGTAACAAAATAGGCCTACTTGTATGTTCCATAAGCAAGTATGTGATTTGATGTCCGCAAAAAAAATTTTATATATATATATATAAACTCTTATTTTAGGAGGAGAAATTCGTCCTCATGGATAAATTTTACAGTTTGGTAAGACAGGAAGTAGAACGACATCGCCAGTCCTTTGATCCAACTGACATCCGGGACTTCATTGACCTCTATATAAAGGTCACTCGAGAGGGACAAGATCCAGAGATTTACACAGGTATGTAACTGTCTTAACATTTAAAAATGGTCAGTAAACAAACAGCTCTTACTTTGACTTTGTCTTCAAAACGCTTAATGTGCAACGTTTTGCCTGAAGACTATCGATACTTTCCGTAATGATGGTAATTGATAGCCAAGAGTGAATAAGGAACGAGGAGCGTTTTGTAGAGGAACTGAGCTGATTGGTACTTATAAAACTGCATGTAAACGGAAAGAGGCCGCTAGAGATATTGAAGAGGTACAAATACAAGTGGAAACAAGGTGGCGCAGAAGTCAAGTGGAAGGTAGTTCATAAATAAATTGAAAGAATATAACCTCGCGTAACAACAAAATATAAAAAGTAAACAACTTCATCGCAACCATCATCTAATTTTAGTAATACATTTTTGACAGTTGGCAGCTATTTCAAATTTTCATATTGCATTAAATGTTTCCAAACAGTTTAAAAGAGATTCCTTTTGACGTTTCAGTGCATGATTTGACCAAAATATTAGACATGCAAGGGTTTTTCATATGCAAGGGTAAATATGTTTCTTTGGATATCAAAACTTGCCTAAGGTTTCCAAAGCGGCAACGCCAAAGTGACAACCAAACTGAATTTGCTGAGGGGTGCCATTGGAAACAAACTCAAGAAAACTTCACAGGAACTAAAATTCGTGTATTGTAGGCACCGGGGTGCCTTCTCGACTATGAAAGAAATATACACAATGTTTTCAATCACTTTGAGTTCTTCATTGGCGTACATTTCAGAATGGAACGTGTTCCGAATCATTGTTGATCTGTATATGGCTGGAACCGACACAACAGCTAATACTTTGAGATGGTCCCTGGTTCATATGGTAAATCACCCGGGTGTACAGAAGAGGGTACAGCAGGAAATTGATCAGGTAACGACCCACAGTAAAAATTAATAGGAGGGACAATCTGAGATAATCTTGTGTTTTTATTTCTTTATTCTGTATACAATACATTTGCTGGTTGTGCATTTGTCTGTATACAATCTGTGCTTAATTTAAGGTCATAGGTCAAGGTCGTGTTGCCAAGATGGAGGACAAGGCCAGGATGTCGTTCACTGAAGCAACCATACTGGAGGTCTTTCGCATGTCTACTGTTGGTCAGTAATTTTTTTAACTTTTCAAAATTTTAATTTGATTTATAACTATGAAAACCACTTCAAAATTGAAACGAGAGAAAAAAAAAAAAAAAAACAATAATAGAGAAATAGCAGTATTTGTTTAAAACCAAAAGTCTAAAAAGTGTGTCATGTATGGTTAAAATTGAGATTTCAAGTAACCTTATTGGTTTTAGAGTAATTCCAACACAATCTATTCTCTCTGTCTCTCTCTCTCTCTCTCTCTCAACTAAAATGAATTTATTTTAAAATTGCGTTTAATTTATTTGAAAAACTTATTCATTCCATATCATTAGTTCCCTTTGGTATTGCCCATGCAACGAGCGAGACAACAATTCTGGGCGGATACACCATTCCCAAGGACACCGTAATACTGGGGCATTTCTACCGGGTTTTTCACGATAAGAATAACTTCGAGGAACCTTACAAGTTCAAACCAGAAAGATGGCTTGATGGCGATGGTAAAGTGATCAAGTCGGACAAAATGATACCATTTTCCATAGGTACATTGCTTTATATTAGTTCTAATATGCGCATAAGTTAAAGTATGTTGATGGAGTCATTTTTATAACCTCTAGATCAGAATGGTTGTCTCACTCTCCATTTGCATCTGCTCTTGCTTATCACCCCACAGCTGTTTTAAGCAGTGCGTTTTATTCCAGATACAATATCTAACATGAATTATGGTACAGAAAATACAAATTAAATATCGGTGCAAATATCCATGTTTAAACCATTTATGCAAATGTAAAACATGTTCCCCCTCAAATATGATGTTCTACAGTAACTTCTTCAAAGGTAAACAAATGACCATAAATCAACAAGACGCCAGTGTTTTGTTTCCCGCATTTTGCAATAACCCCCTGTATGCGGCTCGGCATGCCTACTACAAAGGTCTCGATTCTGCTTTGTGGTGAGCTCGATTGAGGTGTCCTTAACCATATACTTCTAAATGCTATGCTTAGAAAACGATGTAAATTGTATGGACACTCCTAGTCCAGTAATTTCATAAATCCAATTTAGCAATATGTTCTTTGTTTTGCGATGTTTTAATATTGACCTGTAACGATGCTTCTGCTTTTTTGCAATGCTGTTAACTTAGTGGCAAGAGATATGGGCTTGTTTATTTGTGTCCATTTTGCAATTTCATAATACCGACATGAAATATGCGTTTGCGCTACACTGCTGTATTTTTTGTATCATATATTATGTATGTATCTAGATATCTACATTTCTAGTAAAACTTACTGGAACACAATTTGCCACATCCCAGACGCAACATGACATTCAAAATTATTAATTTCGTTCCATATTTTCATCTGCCCATCGTCAATTTGTATTTCAGGGCCCCGTATTTGCCTGGGCAAGGGACTGGCTGAAATGGAATCGTTCATTTTCTTCACCACGTTGCTTCAGAATTTCACCTTCAAGGTACCAGAGGGAGAGAACCCGCCCAGTGAAGTCGAGGGTCTGAACACGTCCACGTTTGCGCCATATGACTACAGAGTGCGCGCTGTTAGACGCTAAAATAAAGTAACATGGACCCAGACAATAAACTGCTAGAGGTGTCGTGTGTGTGTGTGTGTGTGAGTGTGTGTGTGTGTGAGTGTGTGTGTGTGTGTGTTTGTGTGTGTGTGTGTGTGTGTGTGTTTGTGAGTGTGTGTGTGTGTTTGTGGATATTTACCTGGTTGCTTTCTGAAAAAGTGTGTCGTATTACAGTCTATTGGACAACATTTCGAATTGACCACGTTGCACTTCTCACTACCTGCATTGCTTTCTTAGATAACATTCCAGGTGTAACAGGAATAGAGGTATAGGAATGGACGTCCGGGCTCCCATATGATTAGTACGGTTTAAGGTTAGTTGGAGTATTGGGGTTAGTATATGGGACGAATGTCACCTTTGCAAAGTAATAGGGAACGGACTACGGTTCCTAGCTGACTTTCATTCCTGTTACACCTGCAACTACAGTTTCTTACCCCACGTTGATTCTAGAAAAACTAAACAATATCATGTGTTATGGCTACAATATTTCACGTTCGTTTATTTTCTCATTTTTGCGAGTATTAGTTGCAAAGTCTTTGTAAGCTTTGTTCGTATGCAACATTTGCAAAGTACACGATGGCTATGATTGACATTGAAATATACAAAATGAAAAGATAATACTGTCACTATCCCTGTGGACATTCATCACGTATACGTATCACAAGTGAACGTGTTTTAACAATTAAGCACCATTTCTCTCTTGCAATATAATTTAAATCAGCTCAATGAGTCGATATAAGACCCGTCTGAAATACTCTTGTATGTTATTATAAGTGATAAAACAACTTCTAACTTCTAGTAAAATAAAGGTTTCTTATGATATAAGATTAGAAACATCATTACCCATGCCACTGGACGAAATATAATTGGGAACTTTTTCTTCGTGAAAATCTCAGGGGGCCTTGTCTCGTGATGTGTCAAAAGCAAATCATCTCAAAATGTTAGTCTACCGGTTTACTTGAGGGGTGGAGAAATAATCAGATAGGGGCTATTTTTATTGTGTAAAATAAATTGGTTATTTGGTTAAAATAATCCCAGGTAGTTTTGCCCACAAAGGGCACCCAGACTTGCCCAACATTACATAAAAATAAAATATCTCTCTCTCCATCCACCCCGAGTATGATTTTCTGGTATGCTCCACTGACATTGCCTTGAGTAATAGTGTGTTTGACTTCGGAGACAGCCGAGTTATCGGGAGCAAGTCCAAGGATAAAATAAAAAAATTTTATCACAAAATTGCACCCTGTCTCCCAGTGTCTCCAAAGAAAGGTCTATCATCGTTCCCTGTCGAAGCAAGCCACTTGATTTCTCCACATCACTACGATGACAACGCCGGTGATGAGGATGATGCCGCCGACCACAGACGCCGCTATCACCCCGGCCAGCACTGACGGCTGAAGGTAGTACGGACTGGGGAAAAATAAAACACACTGTAGTTATCTCCGCTGTCTTCCTATTGTAGTCTGAGATTAAAGATCTGCACATTTAATTTCTATCAGATTCAGTTACAGTAGGCGAATTTTTAATTTTTTATCCACCGCCTCTTCACGTACGGTCGAAAACATACGAATTTTTTTTCACCCAAAACCTATGCTTTGCGCACGTAATCTAGAACATTTACAGGCAAAATTCATCATTCCCATGTAAATTGCAACTCAAATGATAATAATGATGATGACGACAAATAATAATAATAATAATAATAATAATAATAATAATAATAACCTCACCCCTTTGTAGGATATGACATGGCTAATCTGTTGTTGAGACACTGCTGCTGCCAGTTCATGCCGTAGTTAGGAGAGGTACAGCAGTACCTGAGGAAACACGTACCACAACAGTGCTGGTCCTCAGCGCACCTGTCCCCCACCAGGTCCACATTGTTGACGTCAGTGTAATCGTAACAGTCGCGGCTGGGGTCGAATACTTGGCCGGTGGCTGTTGGAACAAAGGAAAGAATGACTGGACGAATGAAAATATGTGTGTGAGAGAGGGAGAACTGCAGTGTGTGTGTGTGTGTGTGTGTGTGTGTGTGAGAGAGAGAGAGAGAGAGAGAGAAATTGGTTTGTTCATAAATTAACAGATGAAAAGTTGGTTGAATGAATGAACTAATGAATTAATTTCTTTGTGCAATCAAGGAGTCTGTTTTAACTCCTTGGTGCAATGTGCATTGGTGTAAACGACAGGGGTTTAGCCACGCCCCTTTTTTTGAAGCACGCCAGTCATACGCTCAGGTAGGAAGCTGAGCAATATACACTGACAGCACGTCAACTGGCAAAAAATATCAAATTCAGTTTGGTACTTTTATACTTTTTAACCTAAAATCAACCATATAAAAACAGTGACTGTTAACCACTTTTGACATTATGGTAGGCTATAGGGGTATTCTTAAGCAGTTTAAGCTTAAGCATTTCTTTTGTGTTTTTAGTTTCATTTACGGGTCAAGGTGACAGCCAAGCGTGACTATAACGCAGGTCTATCGTTACCTGTCACATGTTTATTGTTCCAGGTCACACAAATTCTTGAAGTAATGTCAACTAAGGTAGACAGACGAATTAGTTGCAGGTACGTGTACCTACGCTACACCATGATGGTGCGTGACTTGACGTTATCGCGACGATCATATTTTAACTTAAACTTAACCGTCTACAAGCAGAGTTGTAATTGCATTTCATTCATTTTCTAATACCGATTAACCGTTATATACTATTGCATTACGTCTCGGCTCTGTACATTTCACCGTACTCAACAGGTACAAACATAACGAAGTACGATCATCACAAAATATCCACACAGACCCTAACATTAGATACCCCAGGAAAACATGCCATTAACTTCCGGGCTGGGCAACATCAACACAGTATTGGCCTCATCTGTGTGTGCTCAATTAAGCTGCTAAGCTATATATACCTGAGCTTAGCGTTCCCAGAAGCACGACAACAATACACCAGTCCAGCAAAGGCGCCGGGTTCACGTCCCTGGGGAGCACCATGGTTTGGTAGGTCAACGTGAAGCGTTCCTTGGGGACAGCGACATTAATTCAGCAAGTGAAACTGACCATAAGAGCCTCGTTTTGAGCCTCAGGTGTGTACTTCAGGTGGACCAGATCCCGCGCAAACATGACCTAGTTTACCTGCCACTGTTAATCTGATCCTTTGACAGACTCATTGTTGACAATAGGCCTATTCACATGTCATGGCCGTGGGCTGTCATTTCACAGTGCCACACAGTGACCCCTCGTAAAACATTACTTTTTCTAAAAATATTAGCACTTAACTATGATTATGATAGACGCGTTTAAATCTAGGAATTAATTTGTTTAAATCTTGAATTGCGGCAGACAAACTAAAAAGATTTGAGAGAGAGAGAGAGAGAGGAAAGAATGAAAAAATGACTAAACTCTCTACATAATCTTGAAACTGACTCAAAACAGCTGAAGTTAAAATTTGTTAACTTTACTTTCAGTATTTATTTTTTACTCCCCTATAATACAAACATAATAATAATGTCATATAAGACAACTGACATGGGGTTGAAATAAGTGAATGTTCATCTAATGCAGATTTATTAAGATTTAACAAGCAATGTGAATAAAATGTCAATTTTTAAGTGTATTACTGTATTAAATATATAATTACCACTGGCATTTGACAGTTCTTAAACCCCCCTCCCCATCCCACAATACAAATCCCATTGCATTTTCATGACAATTCTCAAAAAATTTTCTGTTATCAAAGCTTAATATACTTCAATGCATTTTCCTTTTTCTTCAAGACCAAAACTATTTTCATTTCAAGTTCTGGTTGACAAATCTGCATGTGTCAGTTTTAGCTTGGCAATTTTCTTAAAATTTTGCAAAAAGGCCATTACAGAGCAGAAATCTTTGGACGCTGCCAGTTCCAACTATCTGTGCTCTGATCCCAAGGTTCCTAAACTCTCAAGACTACCTGAGGAAACTAAAGGAGCAAAGAGGAGACTTCCAGACAAATAAACTTTTGCCGTTTACCATGGAAACGGGAAACATACGAACCCTAATTAACTTTGGTACAGAATATCATTCAGCTAGAATTATCTTAATAATCACTATAATATGTATAAAATTGTATTCAATTCTTAAGAGAACTTGTTTCATATATAATATCCACCCCAAATTTGATCCTTGGGATTTTGAATCATCTTAAACGTAACCATCAAGTTGTTCAACCAACACAATAATGACCCCCCCCTTCCTCTATCGTTCCATCCACGCTCAGCCTGGTCTTAACATCGCTGCCTTCATCTCTTCAAAAGTTTCTTCTCAGAATTATTATTTCAATGTGGTTATTAAGTCTCCTGGGGTTTTTATATTCCAATCATCCGTGTAACTGTATGTAGAGGGGGTTTGGAAATCTTTAGAAATGTTTATTTTTAATAAGATCTGTCATCTTCTATCACTGCCGGAGAACTCTGCCCCTGAAAAAATAATGAACAGTTTTGCATTAATTTAATATGTAACTGAACAAACCAATGTCACATAATAATATACACTTGGAAATGGGTGGATTACATGTCAGGTGGTATGATCACATCCCTCATTGTAAAGCTAAATTATCCACAGAAAATACTTCAGACTAGTATGAAAATAACTTTTTCATGCCATTTTTGATGCTTTTCCCTTACAGACTGACATCAGTTTCTGTTCAGACTTTGCATTCATTAAAAAAATTCTTTATCTTGACATATTTCTAGTCTTAGTCATCTCAGTGTCCTTATTTCAAACTCCTTACGTTATCGTCCTCCTTTCTTTTGTTTTTGGCTCGGGTCTGGCTCTGTTGAGAACTTTGAGGAAATCTGACGTCTTTGCACGCATCCGAGAGTGAATATATGCCTGGAGATGACGGAGGTGTACATTATTTTATCTTATATATGAGAACAAAGTGGAAAAGAATGAAGATTAAACCCCTTTCCCTTACATATCGTAACCTTCAGATAAGTTAAACATATTAAGTTTCATTTAAAAACAATAAATACGTCAAGTCCACCATTTTTAGCTCACAGAAAGGAGAAAATTCTACAAAAACAGCAATGAATTTCATAACAAAAATTGCAAATCAATTTTTTTTACAGCACTAAAGTAACCTACAACAAAACACATGAAACAGCAGATCTAACACCTACACATAATTTTTCATAATCTGATCCACTCGGTTCGGGATAAATGTATGGATCAGATCTTACCTTGGAGCACTTAATGTGATAGTGTAGGTAGTCCCTAAGTGTATGTCTTACCTTGGAGCACTTAATGTGATAGTGTAGGTAGTCCTTAAGTGTATGTCTTACCTTGGAGCACTTAATGTGATAGTGTAGGTAGTCCCTAAGTGTATGTCTTACCTTGGAGCACTTAATGTGATAGTGTAGGTAGTCCCTAAGTGTATGTCTTACCTTGGAGCACTTAATGTGATAGTGTAGGTAGTCCCTAAGTGTATGTCTTACCTTGGAGCACTTAATGTGATAGTGTAGGTAGTCCCTAAGTGTATGTCTTACCTTGGAGCACTTAATGTGATAGTGTAGGTAGTCCCTAAGTGTATGTCTTACCTTGGAGCACTTAATGTGATAGTGTAGGTAGTCCCTAAGTGTATGTCTTACCTTGGAGCACTTAATGTGATAGTGTAGGTAGTCCCTAAGTATATGTCTTACCTTGGAGCACTTAATGTGATAGTGTAGGTAGTCCCTAAGTGTATGTCTTACCTTGGAGCACTTAATGTGATAGTGTAGGTAGTCCCTAAGTATATGTCTTACCTTGGAGCACTTAATGTGATAGTGTAGGTAGTCCCTAAGTGTATGTCTTACCTTGGAGCACTTAATGTGATAGTGTAGGTAGTCCCTAAGTATATGTCTTACCTTGGAGCACTTAATGTGATAGTGTAGGTAGTCCCTAAGTGTATGTCTTACCTTGGAGCACTTAATGTGATAGTGTAGGTAGTCCCTAAGTATATGTCTTACCTTGGAGCACTTAATGTGATAGTGTAGGTAGTCCCTAAGTGTATGTCTTACCTTGGAGCACTTAATGTGATAGTGTAGGTAGTCCCTAAGTATATGTCTTACCTTGGAGCACTTAATGTGATAGTGTAGGTAGTCCCTAAGTGTATGTCTTACCTTGGAGCACTTAATGTGATAGTGTAGGTAGTCCCTAAGTATATGTCTTACCTTGGAGCACTTAATGTGATAGTGTAGGTAGTCCCTAAGTGTATGTCTTACCTTGGAGCACTTAATGTGATAGTGTAGGTAGTCCCTAAGTATATGTCTTACCTTGGAGCACTTAATGTGATAGTGTAGGTAGTCCCTAAGTGTATGTCTTACCTTGGAGCATTTAATGTGATAGTATAGGTAGTCCCTAAGTATATGTCTTACCTTGGAGCACTTAATGTGATAGTGTAGGTAGTCCCTAAGTGTATGGATCAGGTTGATGGTGTTGTCACGGGCTGCAGGACTCGTGTGGCGAGGAAACAGGACTGGAAGTAAAACATGACTAGATTGAAAATCCACTGACTGACCCCAAAGTCAATCAGGTAAGGTTGAGCTTTGACCTTTACGATGCCAATACTTAACTAGGAAAGAACAAGTCCTTGTGATTTCTGAGAAGTAGCATAAATCATGTTTTCTATTGGGTAGGCATTCTTTGAAAAAGAAGGCAGTGGCAACAACTAGTAGCAGGCTGAGTTATTCTACCATCTGATTCACTTCCACCTGGACATCAGGTGTGATCAAGACAGCAGAGAAATGGCTCTAAACAGTTATCAAGTAAAGATATTCGATGAATCACCTACACAATGTAAAACATTCTTAAAGAATTAGTGCATAAGTTTAAGGACCTAAGACTAACTTGTTGGAAATTGACTAACTACAAAGAGCAGTCTGGTTACTCTGAGAATGAAGAGAGCTCACCAAATGTGATGTATCCGATGTTGTCACCGGTCTTGGCGTCTGTCCCCTGGAGTTCCAGCGGTGGCTCACGGTGACTGAACAGCACCTGGGGGGCCTGCTGGTAGCGACGGCGACCTTCCTTGAATTCCTGGGAAGATAAACAAATGGCAGAATGTTTGGGATGTTCTAAGAAGTGAGGCATAAATGAATAAACTTTAAAAATGAATTAAGTGTCATTTCAAGTTTTGGCTGAAGCTTAGTGTTGATAATGTGGATGCATCTTATAGTTAATATTTGTGATTATGGGGAAAAAAAAAAGAGAACAAACCTTTTTGTTTAGTTGATATAATGCAAATTACATAGATTGCTACAGTAATCAGATGTGCTTTCTACCAGAACAATTCAGCATAGAAAATCCCCCCCATGAAATACATAATGAACTTAGAAAAACAGATAATATCATACACTAATAATGGAGTAATAATAACTTACATGTCAAGTTGTAATTTGAATCTTTTTTTAATATAACTATGATAACAACATAGAAACTGAGTTACTGTTTCAAAGCAAGACTACATTTTCACTGATCTGCAGGTGAAATGATGGAAGACAAACTCCTGACTTACCTGCATAAACACCTTTCCAATGATGATGTCGTCATCGTCTTTGAACACCGTGCTAAAGATCACCGTCACTCGATCCTTCTTTGCATCCACATACCTGGTGAAATAATAGGACAAACTTTTAACATTAACTGCCCTAAATTACTCACTGTCTTGGAGTAAATAAATAATTTGGTAAAAATATCTAACTAGCTCTTGTTTACTTTATATACATTTTTCAGTCAATGTAGTGAATATTAAGAACAATTTCATGATTTTTCTGAAATATCTCAACTCTGTATTTTAATATTAAAAAATGATAACAAGTGGCGAGTCATTTGCTTCAATAAGATCTAATGCAATTAAACAGCTTTCATTATTTATCTCTGTAACTTACATGGTTTCCTCATCTCTGTAATTGATCACAGCTCGCTTTCGTCCTCCCTCCCCTTTTTCTTGAATTTCAAAGTATTTTTCAAATACAGATGCAAAGCAGTTACGTTTCAGAAGCCCCGCCTTCTTGACTACTTCTGGCCAATCAGAGGGAACATTTTCTAAATCGTAGACTAATGATACATTGTAGCCTGAAAATATAAATATGACTTCATTAAAATTACATTTCAGCATTTTTCTTTGAAGACTGAAAGGGAAATATATCCTCAGAATTTACAAGTAGGTACCCATAAGAGTGTAAGAGTGTGTCTCAGTGTGAAGTGGAACACAGAAAAGCCAGTGATTGTAGACAGAATCGAAAACAAGAAGAGGTGTGGTAATCTGACTACATTCAGCAGGAGTCCCTGTGAAAATGAAGTGATCTATTGAGATCACTAGTTTCAATGTGGATGAGCCATAGAGCTACGGTAAGCGTATAGTTTTACCTTCTTCTGGTGTGGTGAGGAATGCACTGTACTCTCGCTTGATCAAATCATCTGCTCCGTGCTCCTGGAGATCTTTGTAGAACTTGAGAGAGATGCTGACCTGGAAGAGAAATGCACCACTTTTTCTACACTTTATTTTTTAGAAGATTTTCTCAGCAATCAAATCATACGATGTCAAACACCGCCTTCTAAGGGCAATTCTTTGCCCTACTAAAATGATGGCAATAATTGTAAATCACTCTTTTAAAAATTAAATTTTACATATTCTAAATATTCACTCAAATCAAGAAGACATCATAATAATTATCCAATGAAAGGCATATTTCTCAATACTTACTCTAACTTTAAATTTGTCTCCATCTGGGTTGGATATATGGTATATGACACCGTCAAAATCTAAAATATACACATGGTATACTAACCATTAATATTTTAATCAGAAACAAAAAAAAAAAAAAAAAAAAAATTGAAATTAGACAAGCATGGCTGCAGTTGTTTAATAATCATTAATAAAAAACAAACTGGTCGCACAGGACATAAGAAATGACCACAGACTTGCACACCTCCAAAATCAACCTCACTGGCTGGCACTACTTCTTTTCAAAATTCTCTCTCTCTCTCTCTCTCTCTGGTTGAATTTTCTTTGGTATTTTGAAAGTCACTATGGTCACTGTGGTCACTTAATCCCCTTACTAGTAACTACAAATGCTTTTATACTATTATAAAACTACAATTAAAAAAATTCCCTCACCTGCTACAGTGATATCAACACTTTCTGGTTTTCCCCTGTAAAAGATGAAAATTGTCTTAATCAAAGTGATTCTCACAACACTTGATATTTCACTGTCTAACAAAACTCTATAGTTTCTTCTGACCTGCTAATAACCAATGACAGCATTTTGCACAAGTTAAATTTTCCATTAACACAGCAATCTTTTATTTAGTGGTAAAAATCATCAGGTTAACAAAATTCAACAGAAAATGCAGTCACTGTTTCTGAATCATAGATTTCCACCACTTAAATGCAAAAGTCTAGAATCTAAGTAAGAGTAAAACTAACAGTATTCAAGAACAAGTACACATAAATTAACTTCTGAAAATCTGATTCTGATATACTTCCTCATCTAAAAGACACTTCTTTTTAAAACAGGATTCAAATAAGGGCCATTTGATACCACACTAAGTAAATACACAGTCACTGATTTCTAACAACTGATTAAGCTAACAAAATGGGGAACAGCCTTTATCATCAATGATAAGCACTGAAAGCTAAAGTTCCAATCACAGCGAGGTAAAATGAAACGTTTCAAACCATGTTACGAGACAAGTGCACTCAGTGACACAGGTAAACAGCAGTGCCAGTGGTTAGTAGAACAAAAACATGCACAGCAAAATTTTATTTATTATTTTTTTCGTGCCACATTCTCTTTGCCTGCTAGGCTAGGGATATTTACTGCTGGGTACAAATAAAAAATTTTCAACATATCGAGAATTAATCATTTTAAATGTGAAAAACAGAAAGGTTCTGGTATTTATCCACATGAAAACTTACTATTATGGCGAGTATTAATACAAAAATTGATATATGTTGCAAATTAAGAAAACCAAATCTGTAACATGTGACAATTGCAGTACAAACTAAAATCCAAGAAAGCTAAAAACTCTCATCCAGAGATTTGCCTAAATATATATGTTTTAATGAGATTACCATTATCATCATTTTCAGAGAAAAAAAAAACTTAATCTAAATGCACAATTTTAATTCTCAATTCTGAAAAAGGTGTCACATAAGAAATCTACCTTTGTCAACTTCACAAATTGTATTTTGATACCACTTGATAACAATATATCATAATATGTCTTAACAATTCTTTGTCTTGTGTGTGACTGACATCTCAACATTGTAATCAGACTGCAGGGTTAAATTTTACACTGATATATGCCATCTTTTTTCTCAATTTTTGCCATTTTTTATGTATATTTCTATAACAAGCTGAGATACTATTTTTTACAAATTAAATAAATAAATTAAAAAAAATAAATGAAATCTTTAATTTTTCAAGATCTGCTTAAAACATACTAGGTAAAACAAGCACATAAAACTAAAAACATGCTTAATATGAAAGTTTACAAGCTGTTATAATGTACTGTTCAGCCTACTAATATTAAATATTGACATCACACAACAACAACATTAATGCAACAACTAAGTATACTGTGCAGAGATGGAGTATGGAGGCAGAGGATTTGGGGGGGGGGGGGGCAGCAAGGTCGGCTACATGCAC